GACCGTTTGATCCAGAGGAACAAATTCTGAGTGTACTACAAGGTGCCGACCCTCCAAAAGGTAATTCTGGTTTTTTTAGGGGGGGGTCCCCCTTGTATTTCCCAAATGTTTAGGATACAATCCAAAATTACTAGACATTTAAGAAATTAAAAAAAAAAAAGAGTCATAATAAAAATAAAGACGAAAGATCAATTAAGATTAACCCTGAGATGATCCAGGTGTTGGAATAAGCAGACGAAATTTCAAAGCAGCTATGATAACTGTGCTCCAAGACATGAAGGAAAATATGCCTGTAATAAATAAGCAAATGGGCGATCTCATCAGAGAAGTAGCAATTATAAGAAGAAAAGCAAATAGAATTTTGAGACCTTAAAAATGTGATATCTGAAACTAAGAAACCACTGGATGGTTTTAACAGAAGATAGGTGGCAGAAGAATCAGGGAACATGGAAGATAGATCAATAGAACATATGCAACCTGAAGGTTAGAGAGAAAAAGAATAAACAATAATAAATAAAAAGACGGAGCTTTAGTAAGCTATATATAATATCAGAAAGTGTAATATATTTATTTGGAAACCAATAGAAGTGGAGAGTGGGGAGAAAAATACTTGGAAAAATAATGGCCCCACATTTTCCAAACTTGGTGAAAGACATATATTTGCAGATTTTGAAGGCTCAGAAAACACTGAACAGGATAAATATCATAAAAATTATGTGTAATCATATAACAAACTGTTGAAAACCAAAAATAAAGAGAAATTTTTTAAAGTAGAGAAAAAATGGCAAATGACATATAGAAAAACATAAAAGTGAGCATCAGAAACAAATGGAGGCTGGGAGACTTTTTTTTAATTTTAAATTTGTGGGGTATGATTCAGGGTTAGGTACACAAATATTCATCGTGCAGGTACCCCTGTTGATGAGGTGTGCCCCTCCTCCTCAGGCAGATTTTGACTACTGTCACTCCCACCTCCCCGCCCCCCTAACCCTCCTCCCCACAGTTTCCCTGCTACTGTCAATCCTTTTCTTATAGTATTATGGTAGTTGTTCATGGTCCACTTATGAGTGAGAACATGTGATACTCAGTTCTCTGTTTCTGCAAAAGATCACTCAGTATTATAGACTCTAATTCCATCCAGGTTGCTGAAAAATTCATGATTTTGTTCTTCTTTATGGCTGCGGGATATTCCATCGTGTTTTTATTTTTACCACATTTTTTCAATCCAGTCCTCTGTTGATGGGCAGCACGGTTGGTTCCATGTTCTTGCTATTGTGAACAAGGCCGTGATAAACATACATGTGCAGGTATCTTTTTTATAAAGTGATTTTAGTTCTTCTGGGTATATTCCCATTAGGGAGATTGTGGGGTCATATGGAAGGTTGATTTTTAGAAGTGTTAGGAATCGCAACACTGATTTGGCTGGTAGATATTTAAAGACATTTTGGCCAGCTGTGGTGGCTTATGCCTGTAATCCTAGCATTTTGGGAGGTTGAGGGGATGGCTTGAACATAGGAGTCTGAGACCAGACTGGACAACATAGTGAAACCCTGTCTCTACAAAAACTGAAAAAACTAGCTAGGTGTGGTGTGTGTACCTGTAGTCCTAGCTACTTGGGAGGCTGAGGTGGGAAGATTGCCTGAGCCCAAGAGGTGGAGGCTGAGGTGGGCTGTGATCATGATTGTGCCACTGTACTCCAGCCTGGGTGACAGAGACTCTGATTAAAAAAAAAAAAAGAAAAAAAAATTGGGCAAATGCATAAAGATGTAGTCAAAAATCTTTTGTTGAGATAATTAAGCTACTGGATTCCTACCCAGCATCCATTCCTCTCTTCCTTCCTCATTCTTCATTCATGTTTCCCCTTTCCTCCCTTTTGCACTCAGTCAAGTGCCACAGGCAAAATTGACACCTTCCCAAGACCCAGGTGGGCCTCAGAGGCCTACAGGCCTCAGAGGGCTTTGGCTTAGGATGCATCCGTGAGCCAATTCTGAACATGAGGTATGATGGTACGCCTGCTGGAGGCTTTTGGGATGTTCCTGCTCTCTTAAGGAGTTCTTTTCTTCTTGGGACATTTTTCTTTTTTCTTGAGTTGGAATCTCTCTGTCACCCAGGCTGGAGTGCAGTGGCCACTCCCGGCCACTGCAGCCTTGACCTGCTGGGCTCCGGCGATCCTTCTGCCTCAGCCTTCCAAATAGCTGGAACTACAGGTGCACACTACCACATCTGGCTAATTTTTTTGATTTATTGTAGAGATGAGGTCTCACCAAGTTGCCCAGGCAGGTCTCAAATCCGCGGGCTCAGGCAATCCACTCACCTCAGCCTCCCAGGGCGCGGGATTACAGGCTGAGCCACCGAGCCCGGCTGGGACATTTTTCTATCTAGACATGATCCCTAGAATCACTTTAACCATCTTAGCCAGAAGTTGAACATGACATTTAAGAATTGAAGAGCAGGGAGATAAAAAAAATCTAGGTCCTTGGAACCAACAGCCAGCTCCTGAATCAATCAATGTTGAAGGCTCCTTTACCCCGGACTAAGTTTGTGACCCAATATACTTTCTGTCGCCCAGGCTGGAATGTAGTGGCATGCTCACGGCCACCGCAGCTTTAACCTGCTGGGCTCAGGTGATCTTTTTGCCTCAGCCTTCCAAGTAGCTGGAATTCTAGGCACATGCTACCATGCCCGGCCAATTTTTAAATTTATTGTAGAGATGAGGTCTCACAAAGTTGCCCAGGCTGGTCTCAAACCTTTGGGCTCAGGCAATCTTCTCACCTTGGCCTCCCAAAGTGCTGGTATTATAATAGGTGGGAGCCACCACGCCTGGCCCCTTTTTTTCAGGTGTCTCACTCTGTCATCCAGGCTTGAGTGCAGTGGCATGTTCACCACAGTCTCCACCTACAGGGCTCAGGTGATCCTTATGAATCAGCCTCCCAAGTAGCTGGGAATACAAATGTATACCGCCACACCCAGCTTATTTCTTGATTTTTTTGTACAAACAAGGTCTCACTATGTTGCCCAGGCTAGTGTAGCACTTCTGGGCTCACGTGATCCTCCCTTCTTGGTCTCCCAAAATGCTAGGGTTACAGGTGTGAGCCACTGTGCCTAGGCGTCTCTAGAACTTTTAACCAACCACAACCAAACTGAGTCAGCACGGCAGTGTGGGAAAGGCTGAGTTTAATGTTGAGTTCCGCTTTTACTAGATTTGGGATTTTTGACTCTGAGCCGCAGTTGCTTACTGTGGATGATAATTCATGTGGATTACACTCAGAATTCAAACTGATCATGGCTGCAAAAACGTCTCCAGAAACTGTATTTAGGCTGGGCTCGGTGGCTCAGTCTGTAATTCCAGCACTTTGGAAGGCCGAGGCGAGAGGATTGCCTGAGCCCGGGGGTTTGAGACCCGCCCGGGCAACTTGGTGAGACCTTGTCTCTATAATAAATCAAAAACTAGCCGACCGTGATAGTGCACACCTGTAGTTCCAGCTACTTGGAAGGCTGAGGCGGAAGGATCGCCGGAGCCCAGTAGGTCGAGACTGCGGTGGTCAGGAGCGTGCCACTGCACTGCAGTCTGGGCGACAGAGTGAGACTCTGACTCAAAAAAAAAGAAAAAATAAAAAAAAGAAAAAATAAAAAAAAGAAACTGTATTTATGTAGGTGAGGGGGTTATCACCGTACGCATTCTGATTTAAAATGAATTGCGCTGGAAGTGGCCTTGAGGGATCTGTCTAGAAAGCCTATCCTTAGGGTATTAAAAAAAATCCACTTACAGTGATCTTTCTAAATATAAATCTGAGCATATAACATCCCATTGGAGTCTCTTTCCCTGCGCCTACAACACAAAGTCGGAACTCCGTAGCCAGGCAGATCTTGTCTGTCGCCGCACCTGAAGCTGTGATGTGTTCACTCGTCTACACAAGTCTTCCCTATTAGATTCTCCGTTTCAGAAGAAAGGGTCTAACTTGAGGTTCCCGAACGGACTTGTGCGGCGGGGCTGGGAGAGGCTGCAACTAACACATCCTGGTGTTCCGCCTCATCTTCTTCCTAACAAGCCCTTGGATTGTGCCATTAATTTTCATAGAAAGACCACTTATCTACCTAATCCTGGATTGTACCCCACATCTTTAAATTAAAAAAAAAAAAAAAAGTCCACGTAGAACGCTTCCAACACCAAAGCGTTTCGGTGTTTATTGCCACACTGGTCACAAGCCACGCTCAGCTTCTTGCCCCCCTCGTTAGTCTTAGCGTTCAGCTCGTGGCCTCCGAATCGAGGACCCTATTTTGGACTCATTAGAGAGGTTTTTCTCAGTATCTAGCCTAGCACACGCGCCTCGCACAGCTGAAAAAAAATCTCTTTCCTTTAGATCTGAGCGCCAGAAGCGACAAGAGCTACCCGAGGCAGCGGGGAGGGCGGACGGGGTGGGTGGCCACTCCCGGTAGCAGGCCTCGACAGCTCCCGCATGGGTCTGGGGTCTTCTCGGAATTTTCAGCGCCACCCTCGGTGTCCTTTACAGGGCGCGGGTGAGGGGTTGGAAGGGAGGAGGGATAGGACTGGAGAGAGGTGGAATCTGCCCGGAGAAACAGGTTCCAAGACCCTCTAAAAATCCCAGGCGGCCCTCCCCGGCTGACGCAGCCCGCCTTCGAGCCTGACGTGCTCCTTTCACTGAGATTGACTCTTTCGGCTTTCCGTCTTCCTTCTCTTGGGGAGAGGTGGGACTTCCTGCTTTACCTTCGAGTGACTTCCGGCCAGATCTGATGTATTAAAAACAAGAAGGCATATGGGATCACCGATTACTTGGTTCAAAAATATAGAATTCTACCTGGTTTTTAACCAAACGAGTTCCAAGATTCTGTTTTTTGGCTGTGGTGTCCGGCACCACATCCACGACGCAGTCGCCTTGGGAACCGCCGGAAGTCGCTCAACGGAGAGACAGGAAGTCCCGCCTCTTCCTCCCAAAGGGAAGACGGTGAGCCGGAGGAGTCAGTCAGAGGGGCTAGCAGGAGCGATTCTGTCGGCAAACAGGTAAGTTATTCTCTGGCCGGGGCGGGGGGTTTGGAGGCGGGG